CACCAAGATGACAGTGATTATGCACCAACCAGCGCCAAATGATGACTACAACGGACTCATGGTGAGTGTCAGCAAAATCCGTTCCACCTCGGTGGACAAATTCATGTGCCTGGGAAGTACCATTTGACGAATCACCAAGATCGATGAAACTGTCGATCGAGCCCCGAAAGCTAGACATGCGTTCGGTGGGGTACAACACCCTGTCTAGAATCGCCGCGGATCCCCCTTAACATGAAACTAAGGGCGTTGACCTGGCAACGCTCCTGTATCGGACGGAGATGTAGACGGTTTAGTAAAGCCAAGCGAGGGAGCTCAATCATTTTCGCCCTGACTGCCTCCGTAGAAGACTGAAGGTAAAGTGGCGAGAGTGAATCCCAGATAGAGACTCTGGAAAGAATCGGCGTCCTCGGCATCCATGCTCTGTTGAAGCAGATAAGACGACGTTGGAACGGCCATGTCGTGAGGACGGATAACGAGCGTCTGTCCAAGCGACCTTTGCAGAACGTCGCTATGGGGTGCTAGTAGACAGAGCGGACAAAAGACGCGATAGAGGGACAGCCCGAGGACGTCTCGAGAGCTCTTAAATCAATCCTGAGACCTAGGAGATCCTTGCACAAGATCGGCAAGCGTAGCAGACCTCCATGAGAACCGAGACTGCCGTCTCCGAGGCCAAGAGGATACTGAACGCAGAGGCTAAACGAGGTGTCCGCAAAGCTCAAATGTCGCGGACCAACGGTGGCAACACCCAAACTCCCACTAAATTATTCGCATAGACAATGGTTAATTGGGGCAAGGATCGGCCTTTATGGACGTCGCCGGACTCGATGCAATGTTAACACAGTTGACGCGCCTTTTTCCTCATAAAAAAAATCGCCACCACCGTCATCACCCGCAAAGACACCCCGCCATTCCGTCTTTAAACTAGAAATGTGGATCCACTTCCAACCTGTTCACAGCACAATCCTACTTTTGAATTCTGCATAGGCCTAGTCGACCACTGGTGAAGCCATTAAATTGTGACTGGTGGATGAGTGCCTGAAGTCCCAATGCACCCAAAACTACCGCTTCGCCTGTCCACACTTTCCCACTGTACTTAGATAGGGCGTTAGCCTATTCGACCATAAGTGCATCCACGTAAAGCTCTGGTCAAACGGCACAAAAAGACCCCTCGCGACACTTCGCTCAACTCCCACAACCCACGATCCTACTAGGTCTAGAGTATATGTACGATTACTATCAACAACACGTCGCTCACGTAAGACGCGTGCGACCTACTTTGCCAACATCGGTATGGAGAGTGAAACTTCTCGTGTGAGAATGTGCACATCTCACTAGATGAAGAGTGTGTCGTTTGGTGTGGCCTGGTGTATGGAGTATGGACCAAGTCATGTGTTAAATGCGTAAACGGGTTGTTTGACCTTGTCAGCCACTGCGCCCACATCCACCTCCGGTCGTATCGACCTTGTCTTCCTATTGTTGCACGCATCGGAAGTGCGGGAGGTTCCATATGGTCTGGTTTTCTGCTTCGATTTTGTGCACGACGGCTGAAAGTGGTTGAACGAGGGTATTAAAATTCGTCAACCTAGTCTTCTGTCATAGAGCAGTGCGTCCGAACATGCCGATAGAGTCCTCACGCAGGGGCGTGCTTGTGGTTGATCGGGTGGTCACTGTTGGACTTCAGTTCTCACATGGTGCTTATTGATTTACTAGACAGTATGGATTGTAGACAACTTAAATTATCGACAGAGGACACAGGAGAAAGGCAGCTGTTAGTTGTCATCTTCTCATCAAAATCGTCCCTGCCAGCACCTGGCCAGAAGGATAAAGCTGGCTCCCACATAGGGGGCCAATACTTTCGGTCTGCGACAGTGGAACACCTGCGAATTCAGTCTTTGCAAGACGGTCTCGATCGTAAATCTTGATATCTGTCACCATATCGGCATGCATTTTTTCGCGCTTGCAGGTTGTTCCAACGAACAAAGGGCATACTTTAAGACCGAAATTCAAGAGCTTAAAAACGTTGGCACATTTAGTGATTCTCCACTTCATTTTATTTATCCCCCAACAGCGGTTGGATGGTTTCGACTGCAATGTCTCAGTGAATGGAAGTAGTCAAACAAATAGTATAAAAAGGTACGGTGACTACGATACGTGGTAGACATGTCCTTTCCTCCAAGAACAGCGATAGGTCGGCTGTAGTATTTGAATACACAATCCCAAACGCAAGACGCCGAAACAGTCATGCAGCTAGAGCGCTTTGCGGACTCCTGGACGCTTCTTACACTGCCGCCATTTGCTGATAGATCGTCGATCTTGCACCTTAAGTCTCCATCGCCGACAATGAGCCAATTTCATGCATTAGTTTTCACAGAGCTGACTTTGCGTAGGACGTAGAGCTGCACATCTCTTGGTGATTGTGTTGTCTTCTGGATGCAGATGATATTGTGATATGCTGTCATGGCGTCTCACTTGTCCACGAGCACGACAAAACATTCGCAAGCCTTGAGTACGTCTAGATTAGCGCCGTTGACCTTGGGGGAATTTTGACTGATTTGTGTGACATGCGGAGTGACGAAGCTTTAAATTGGGTAAAATTCTTATCAACTGTGGTATCCACCTGAGTGAGGGCTCATTCTATTGGTGCTATCACATTGTCAGAGAAAGGAACAGCCATAAGTCCCGCATTTGTTTCGCGGCTAGATCCCTGGGCGACGAAGGTGTGCCCATTTGACTAAGTTTGATTAAGAAGTGTATGGAATCTATGCTCCTGTACTGCGTCCTCTATCGTTCTCTGTCTACAGGCATATTCGACTACTTTCTGCCGAAACAGTTGTGTGCTGCTCTCTTCCACGGATTCGGGACGACTGTTTTCTGCTTTGTTAGCCCTCCGAGAGCACACGCGTCAGCTTGAGTGACGATTCGGAAATATGAGAATCACTCGTCAGCTTCACCAGCCCAGTGTCGACCGGGTTGTTGTACACGTCCTTAGTAGGTGACGTGAACGAGGCCCGTTGATCAACAGGTACGCGTCTGCGTGAAATCCCACTCTACAAAAACAGCGCTCCATGTATGTCTTGCAATTGTACTTACTTCTCTGTTGGTGTATTTGAATATAAAGCAGAAACATCGGAATAATATAGCTGTCGCCCTAACGATGCTGTGGATTACTTTCCAACCTTCCATCCATTTTCGAAAAACTCTGCTAATCGGACTCTAGGCAATGAGCTACTAATCTCAAGGCTCATGTCCCAGAGACACTATAAATAGCTTTCCTAGCCTGCATCAGTGGGAGCTCCAAGCTATCTCCAATTATCGAGATTGACTACGTAAAATTATGAAAGAAAATATGGAAAAAATCGTAAAAAAATTCTGTCGGACCGCGCACTCTGGGGCCTTACCGACTCAAGGTACTGCGGAATCGACAGGAATTTGTAGACTCGATTTCTAAACGGTCCACTGTCTTGTGCTGTCTCACCCTCCTCTTGATGGCGTGTTGGAGGACTGAACTCCTCGCATAAATAATTTGAAAACTTGAAGTCTAAAATACACACAGGGTGGCACAAAGTTTAAAAAAAGTATCCAACCCGAGTGAGTCGCAAAAATCTGGAAAAAGTGAGAAGGGCACTTTAGAAAATACTTATTTTTGGCAAGTTTGCATACAATTACTTCGAGCTTTCTGTCGGAGAAAAAAATTAATTCGGGGACACCAGTGACAGTTACTAGAAGTAACTGAGTGCTCATTTAAAACTCTTGAGGCTTGTGATGAAAAAATAGATTGGCTCTTATGCGAAAAGGGTACGACAGTAGGAAAGGCCGGACTCCGGGTCACGCTTTTTAGAATGTGTAGAACCTCGGAGAATTCTGCAAACTAAAGTGCGCCGTCCCAGGGCCGCATTTACCCTATAATCGTTCACTAAAAGGTGAGAAAGAGTCAAGCCGAAGGAATTTCGGGCATGATCAAATACCTGAGACGAAGTATACGGCGCCCGGGAAAAACGCACTTTAAATCTGAGAGATGGTTCGAAGTGTGAAGAGAAATTGTGCTAGGTCTGATGCGATTCTCCGGCCTGCGCTCAGTCGTACGCTACTAAAGAAGTTTAGTCGAGTAGCCTTGGTGTGGAAGTAAACAGAGCCTCGGACTGGTCGACGGCTTAAATATAGATCACAGGGGGCCACTAAAGCCATTTACAATAGCAAATCATGCGCCCGGCTGGGACTGAAAGCCGGGACGAGCATTCCCTAGCATAGGTCAACCTATATCACTTTCACCTAAGCGCCTGGTGTATAGCCTCAGTTATACCACGACTAAAGCGCATATCCAGACATTTTTCGCATAATCCAGCTTATTGATGCCTCAGTGGACACGGTTTGGTTTGATCAAGATGAGACCATAAAAGCAAGCGTGGCACATGTTATTGGGTAAACAACACATTAATGGCTGAGCGCGAAGTATGGACACCTGTGTATTAATCGCAACAAAGACACGGTTCCAACCGTTTCTAGCGCTGGACAGGTCAGTAAATTAAAGAGCGAAGACACCGCAATGACGGCGCACAGTCGTTGGCGAGAAAAAAAATTTGCCAGACAAGGTACATCTTACTCGGTATAGACCGAATAAAACAGACTGGCTACAAAATACTGTTGGCACGAATCAAAACGTCGGGGGGAATACTCTAACTGAAAGACTCCACTCTGACCACGGGAACGGAAATCACTGTTATGTCAGAAAAAAATGCACTCAAAACACGCATGCTCTAACGCCTCATAACGTCGCTTACTCTGAAAAGGGTTTCGAATTTCACACTCGGATTCGGAGTCATTGCGATAACGCCATTGTTCTTTTTGGTCCATGGGGGTCTGGCACTTTGCAAACCGTCCTATGTACGTATTTACGGCTAAACTACAGAGTACGGTAGGAAGTAACAAGAAAACGAAATACATCAAATAATACTTTATTTTGGAAAAATGAGTTTTGGGTTACATCAGGCAACAAATGCTTATTACTGTCCGGCCTGGTTTCTTAGTAGGAGGTAAATGTTCTCCTTTATCCAGTGTTTGGTGTGAGGCACGTAAGTAGCGGTATCCTCATGAAACTCTAAACAGCTTAAGTCTGCTAAGGCGTCAATAAATTCGAAGAGCTGTGAGATGTCGTATGTAATGGTTGGGGCAGAGGGGTTTTGACGTTTCAGCTGCTCTTCGTAGATCTTGCAAACACCTTCCAAACACTGATTAACTGTTTCATAGTCCGTCCAGGCACGCGTATCCGGCTTCTTAGCTGCCGACTGTACAAGCAGGATCGTATGGCCCATTGCTTAAGAAAAGTAAACATCAAATAGCTGACTAGAGGCAGATCAGACCGGTCAAGTAACGGAAGTTGTAGATAAACTTTATTGTCTTTTTGTGAAAAACAGGAATGGAAGAGAGTAAATAAAGTGAGATAAAAAAGCCAATGTATTCGAAAGAGAAACCACATCGTAGGAGCCTTCCACGCTATTACAAATTGAGCAAATTTACACGCCAGTGTTCGTAGGATGAAATCCATGAAATTGGGACAGTCCAATTTGGTAGACGGGCGACCGTTTCTAACAACGCCGCAGATCTTCCGTTTGGGACACTTTCGTCGCTGTACTGACTGACTAAGGCGATGTCAACGAAATTTTTGCAGCCTTCATTGCATGACTCTGAACTGACTGCAAATTCTAGCCAGAAAACCCATGGTTCTTGCCATTTCCCCGAGGGTGATGTGGCCGATGATGGATCAAAATGGTTGATAAAGTAGTGAGCCGATGGCGGAGACGCCTCTTTTTCAAAGGGCGAACGACCAGGCATCGGAACCGGCCGGGGATATCCTGCATCAGGAGCAAAGGACCAATTTACAAGGTGAATATTTTCTGGTTGGAATCGCATCAGAAGCTGAGTGTGGGGAGAAAATGAATCTACAGAAAGTGTTAGGTTGACACGACTAGAATTCATATTTAATTCCAGGGACTCTCTCAATTCAAGGGTCCTATTAATGACGTGCAGCTCTGCAGGCATCGACTTGTGGGGTTCGGCCTGCCTAGGCAGAAGAAAAAAAGTGCTGAAGGCGTGTATAAGAGGATAAAATAACGGTATACCACAATAAGGACGATCTCTCTGACAAATAAACGGCTGAGATTCAGACAACTCCGGGAACTCAGTAAAGTCACGAACACCCTGGGATATCAGCTTTTGCAGTCGCAGTAGAAATGGGTTAGAAGACAAAGTAGACGACGGAGGGTAACGAAAATATCGAAATTCGTTGGTGTCCAGTGGAACAATAAAAATCCCGGAATCGTTATTTGTCACGCCTGGACTCATTAGATTGTCCCGGAATGCCCTGTTCGCATGAAAAACAGCCACGCGCTGTTGACTCGGCCGAAAGAGATGTGCGTTTTTATCGGGGAGAATAGCATACGGGAATCCCATCTGAGACGTATGAACCAGGGCAGTAAATGTTATACAGGCATTGACAAGGAGATAACGCATTGTGCGAGCAGATTTAGCAGATGTAAAGTGCCACAAGTCGGCGAGGAAGAGGAGAACCGGCCATGAAATAAGAAAAATGATACAAGCTAGTGTTACATCAGGCTTAATCAAATGCCCAGCTCGGCCAAAGATCGGAATAAACGCGTCTAGAAGTACTGAGCACGATGATATATGGAAGAAGATTAAGGGAGGAATAAGGATAAACAGTGATTTGAGCGCAGGATTTCCTCCGAAAACGGACGCCCATTTTAAATAAACCCTACGAGATGCAAAAGTAAGCCCGCACCAAAAGGCAGGAATGTATGAGGCCGGACTATCAAGGGCGAGTGTGATAACCAGTAGAATATTTAAGAGCAGAAGAGCAGCCTGGAAGAAGTCAAGCTCAAATGGGACGGAGGATAGAAGGGGGAGGTTCTGGGAACGATCGACCCACAGACTATTTTTAAGAAGTGTACGAAAAGGAAACAAGGTAAACATGCGCGCGTTTGGAATTTTGCAGAAGGACGTGTGAAAAAATGTGCAAAACGTCAAAAGCGGGAGGAAAAATACGCCGAAAATATTATAACGGTTTGTGAACCAAGTCATCCGACAACCCCACAAGTGCGTTGCATAGCCTACTGACATTAAAAATACAAAACTACCCAACACAAAGGCAGTCTGAATGAGCAAGGCTAGAATAAGGCCACTGTATGAATCCCTTCCGCAACGTAGGACTTTCCGAGGCAAAAGAATCCATGATAATACAAAAAGACACACAGCGGAATGCAAAATACGTCCAAGCCACCAGGGGTACTTCAGCATGAACGAGCCCAAAACATCAAAATAAACGTAGCGTGAAGAATCTGGTCGTCGCCCGACGCTTGGCGAATCGTGAATGCTGCCCAGGCTACCCTCCGGCGATACATTGGACTCCAACATTTGAGGCTGGGTAGGAGCTCTTTCAAGCTTTGGAAGATGAGTTATACGTGGATCGGTAGCCATGGTATGAATTAGACTGAGAAGATTTTCGCCAGCTAACTGAAGGCAGGCAGCAGATATACGTTCCTGTACGTCATGGCGCGTGTGATACGAATAGCCATCCGCGATGTAAGCAAGATCAAGACCGGGTATCAGGCCGTAATCACGAAAAATCCGGAAGTCTGTATCTGAGGGTATCAATCCAAACTGAAATATTTCTTCAGCCATTACTTCCGCCGACGGCCTACGGGTTGCTTTCGAATAGATGTCAATGAGAACCGAACTGGCCATACCAGGACCACTCTGGAAAAGCAGAAGTTTCCCGCCAGCGCCAGCGCCCTCAAGATTGATGAAAAGGGCCACATCTTTGGCCCATTTGTGCTGAGTGATAAACGCATGACTGGCGGGCAGGATGGACTCTTCTGCAGAATTGAAAAGGAAAATAACATCATGAAGTAACACCGTCCTCACTTTAAGTAGAACGCGTATGACCTCTAAGGAGTTGGCACAACTAACAAATGCATCAGATGCGCCTGGACTGCCAGGAGCGCTATCGTAGTGACAGTTAACAAGAATGGCACGACTATTTTGTTGGCTACTTGAACGCGTGTCATGCAAACGAAAGAGGAGGTTGCACAAATTTGTGTAACTAGTTATATGAGAATGAGTCTTGAATGATGAATGGGAGGAGATTTGTTGGTCAAATGTTCCCTGAATAGAACCTCCCTTTGATTGGAGCTCCAGATCCTTAAGTTGAGCTATCAGGTAGTCTTTCGCATACACTTCCCTAGTAGCAATCTATATCGAGACGATATCTATTAGATATCTAATTTTCGAGATACCTATATCGAGTATATATCGATTTTGTCCGCGGCCTAGATATCGAGACGATATCTATTTTTCGAGATACTACGAAATCGGCGATAGGGACACGTTAGGTCATGCGGTTTTTTCTTCTTACACCCATATATAATTTTCTTATCGTCTGTTCGCCTTAGTCACCCCAATCCCTGCCTACTTTGCCTCCTGTTGTCCACTTTAGAACCCTTTTAACCCCTACAAGGGATAGACCCACATGTACGCGGTCCAAGCCCCGTAACATAGTTCAGATGTTTTTGCACGGCATCACTATTAAATGAAAAGTTTGTTTCCCCAACATTGGAGTCATAGTTAGAAAGAAAGCACTCCTGTGATGCGTAGGGGACAGTAATGATCAAGACAAGCAGTACACACAGTATGACAAGCCAGTGAATGATCGAAACGGCCAAATGCGGGCTAGTCGGCTCAATTGAACTGGTTTCTTGGCTATCTGAAGTAAGCGAAGAATAAGTCCGATTTAGAAAGGCGACGTCTTCTGCAGGATTCACCCTCCGGCGGACGTCCATGATGGCGGTACAGCCCCCCGCCTGTTAATCAAACACGGCTGCAATCAAAATAGTTAATGAAAACACGCCTTTCTTATTCCAAGTACTCAAGAAAAGAAGAACGCCTGTCTATTCCGTCACCCCAATATAATCGGGATGAATATGCTGTTATGAGTTAAACACAATCATATTTTCTTTGAGTTCCTCGCTGCTGTCAAATGAAGATCATCCTGAATTTCCGTACATCCCGAACACACCAACTGAGCGATGGTAGGATAAACTTCTACGAAAATATTGAACCCAAAGGAACCTTGATAGGAACATAAGTAACATACTCTCCCTAGATGATATTGTCCGCAGAGAATATAAGGTATTGAACGAACCGAAGTCCCCAGAACCAGACGAGATCCCACCCAAGCTTCTCAAAGAACTTGTCAATGAGTGAATTCGGTAAAAACTATCAGTGAGCACCCCTCTATCTTCAGTAATTCTCCGCAAAGTTAAGGAGAAGATCATGAAGAGTGAATTGGTGCAATTTCTGAAAGTTCACGATTTGCTATCGAACTGCCAATATGGGTTCCGGAAGGGAAGAACCTGAACGACAAATCGGCTGCAATCTTTCAAGAGCTTGACAGAGCTCTAGACGACAGCCACGCGGTCCATATGGCTTTCATTTACATCCAGAAGGCGTTCAACACTGTGGCACCCCAGAAACTGTTATACAAGCTTAAAAATCAGGACCAGATGCAGTGTTCTCAAATGGATCAAAAAATTCCTTGCGCGTTAACAGCAGATTGTGTACATCGGTCAAGGTAAATCAGATCCTGCTATCATCGAGAGTGGTGTTCCCCAGGGTTCAGTACTAAGACCGATTATGTTCCTAATATATGTGGACGATGCCGCAAGAGCTTTGACTATGAAGCAGCAATGTTTGCCGACGACATGAAGATATGGATTGTAATTGGGGCACTGCCGACGAAGACAGACTGTAGATGAACCTTAAAGGGTAAGAAGAATTGTCAAACCGTTGCTTCCAGCAATTCCACGTTGGTTAGTGTATCATACTTCGCGTAAACAACACAGCCATATTCGCCAGCACAGGAGACTACTTTCTGGACAGTGCAGCATTACGAGACGTCCAGGCCCAAAAGGACCTCGGTGCGCTGACGACGAATTCATTAAAACCATCCTCTCATTGTTCGAGAGTGGCAGAAAACGCAATGTCCGTACTGTATACTACCAAGCGAGCATTTATGGATTTTGACGAAGACCTTTTCTCAAATACTTTCGGATCATTCGTGCGGCCGCACTTGGAATACGGCATACAAGCCTGGAAGCCGTGGGCAATTCAAAATCAAAGTTGCCTCGAAAGAGTTCAGAGGAGATCCACGAAGACTGTTAGGGGTCAAAGCTCATTCCCCTATGCTACCCGCTTAATAAATCTGAACCTCTTCCCCTTGAGTTTTAAGCAACTTCGCGGGGATCTCGTGCAAGCATTGCGCATAGTGAAGGAGTTGGATTACAGCCTGGTCTTTGAGGACTTTATCGAATTTGCTACCACGAGCAGCCTCCACGGTCACCCGCTTAAATTGCGCACTCAGCAGGCAAAGCTGGATGTACGGAAGTTCTCCTTCTCTGTTCGAGTGGTCAAACCATGCGATGTTCTCCCTGCAGATGCTGCGATTTCAGCATCGATACAAAGCTTTAAAAAGAGCCTTGACATATTTATTTTCTCAAATGATCAAGAGCGATGAGAGATAGAGCTCACCACCCTTGACTCACTTTCCTTTTGCCATACCATCATGAGCTCGTTTTAATGATTTCAGATCAGCCAATTTCTCTGTCGAACGCGCCCAGTTTTACGTCGCAAATAGAGTACTCAAAGGGTCACACCTATTTTCTTCAATAAACTGAATTTAACTGAACATTCAGAATAGGCCAGGAAATTAGGTGACTTACGATTACCTACACAGCCGTTAAAGAGCAAAAGGGACTTGAAAACGTGGGTATCTGGACAAAAGCCTATTACCAGGAGTAGAAAGAATTGCTCCAAAAAATTCAAAAAACAGTCCGGTTAAGACCAAAATTTTCCCTGGTTTATCGTATAAATTAAAATACTATTGTTCTATATGAATTTATGAGCCGCGATGACTATCACCAGCCTAAAGATGATTCCGTTGGCCTTAATGAACTCTGGAATGGTCTCCTGCATTGGCAAAGGCTTGATGGGAACAAACATCTGGATTATGACATGCAGCCGCCCCAGTTCATTTCAGTTATTCGACGACAAATGATGGAAAGTGGTTTAGTTGTGTCATTGTTTATATAGAACAGTCTACACATAGAAATAGCCGATTATGTCTTAACTGCTAAAATGCAGTACTATTTATCAGTCGTACAAAAATTGCAGGATTAACTACTCCTTGGACGGGTCCGGAATGTCGTCAGTTCCAGTTTTGTCCGGCCGTTAATACGGGCAGACGTGTTAGCAGGAGACGCAATATCCAGGAAAGTTGACGTGTAGGAAGAAAGTTATGGCGACACCAACGTAGAAGTCAAGTAATTTGCCTTGGACTGGATCGCTCACACGCGAATGCTCGACCGTCACAAACGGAGACTTCCATCGCTGTTTCGTGAGGCGCGTTCGGAGACCGTGACCTACGATTAAATTGGCTAAAATGCATAAGGATAACGCAGAAACTATTGCCCACTCCTCTCACGCAAACATCACAGTTAGGAACTTGATTCGGTAAATGACAGAGACAGTTTTCCTTTTCAAAAGGAGGTCGTGCGGCTTCCGGAAGGAGTTCGTGATATCGGAAAAAAAGCGATCTCGAGAAGGAACGGAGACTGTAGAGGAAACATCGGAGATGACGACGGCCTGAAAATTCTCTAGAATTTAGGAAACCCCAAATAGGTGTCTGGAACACATGAAGATGATCGAACAGGAATTGGTCAAAAATGTCGGAAAACAAAAAAGAAATGCGGAAAAGTTCAATGCAGATGGGAACAGAGCGAAAGGCAATTGGGAGTCAATTTCTCGTCTAAAGGATTATCGGGAAAATAAGATAACCGAAAACTCAGACTAAACAAATCCCTTATCCCATTTCTTCATGTCCGTGTATGCCGAGGGGCCGTCTTTTGATAGGGAAGTACGCCGGCAAGTTGTCACATCTAGCGATACATTTAGCACGATGACGTTTACAAGAGACACAATGAGGAAGTCATTGTGTCAGTTACAGCCCTGCCAACACATGGCCCCGCCTTGTGGGTGTGGCCAAGCGTGGCTGGACGCGGCCATGGCCGCGCCATATTTTGAGAAAATTCAAGAGTCGTTTCAGCCGCTTAGACGAAATTTTCTGTGTTTTAATGTTGCGCAATTGCCTAAATATACGTTAATTCACCCAGAAAGTGCCCTGAGTCTGCACTACTTGGGGAATTATAATTTGCCTGGATAAGCCGATTAGGACGCTTTTGTTTAAGTGGGCCACTTGGACGCCATTTTTCTACTGCTCGACCGGACGCTCGCGACAAGGTGGTACGTTTTCCCGCGTCGATTTCATGTCTATCGCGTCTTTATGGTCTTACTTACGCAATTACTAATCTCTTTTATGCTATGCAAGTAGGTTTACTAACTTAATTACAATTTTAATCTCACTGTGGGCGTTTCAAGTGCAGTTCAATTTTTTTAACTTGTTTTATACCCATCAATGAAAGCAATCATGAAGCGCAAGTATTATGGCTTCCATCGGAGCACAATTTACAAGCGGATTGCGCGTGAGAAGAAGGCATATTATGCGCGGATGGCTGATCCCTCCGTTTCCTCTACGCCATCGGTCGTAGACCAACCACCGGAACTAGAAATGCCCGAACTAGTCCCAGAAGTTTGCACTGGTAGTCATCTTACTATGTTACTCAATAGCAAATTTAGAGCCAGTAGACATAAGCGAGGACGCGGTCGCAGGCAAATACTTTCTGGCGGATTTACGGGAATTCTGCTTGGAGGCCCAAATGCCACTATCCACAACAAAGAAGTTGTTTCGGATGCTGCGGCCCTACCACTCAGAAGTGCCTAAAGACCCAAGGACGCTATTGCAAACGCCTCGGACCTGCATTAGCAAGCCCCTGAACAAAGGCAACTATGTTCATTTAGGTCTTGAACGTGGTCTGCTGGATCAACTGCACATTCTGCCCGAAACAAGCGTTCCTGAAATGCGCATCCAACTGCATATCGACGGAATGAAGATATTCAAGGGTTCTAATCGAGGCCTGTGGCCGATTCTTGCCCGTGTTCGCCATCCAGTTGTTGGTCAGCCCTTCATTGTTGGAGTGTTCTCCGGTCCCGGCAAACCCGATCCGTTGGATGACTTCCTGGGCGACTGTGTTGGCGAGCTGAAAGACCTCCTGGCCAGTGGTCTGCGCATTCCACATACGCAAAATAGCGTAAAGGTGATCTTAGACAATGTTATCTGCGACACCCCTGCCCGATGTTTTGTGCGGCAAGTTAAAGCTCACAATGGCTGTTACGGGTGTGACAGGTATGTTGTTTCGTACCTTTAACTATAACCACCACAGGTGTTCCCATATGGGCAAACGTATTGCAAACCGCATGACGTTTCCAGTATGCAGTGGGCGTCTGCGTGACGACAGGTCATTCAGGCTGCGAAGACAGGAACCGCACCACAAGGGCAGGTCTCCGTTCGAGGATTTGCCCGTCGATATGGTGACCTCCTTCCCACTCGACTATATGCACCTGGTTTGCCTGGGCGTCATGCGGAAGTTACTGCATATTTGGCGTCTGGGCTCCAGCAGGCACTCTGACTCATTGAATGAGTCTAGTAAGATGTGCAGCCAAAATTTGCCGGTCGAGTTTTCGCGTAAATGCAGAACACTCGATTGTCTAGAGTTTTGGAAGGCTGCCGAATACAGGCAATTCCTACTGTACATAGGCCCCGTCGTTTTTTCCTCCGCCTTAAGCGAAGCCCGTTACCAACACTTTTTACAGTTTTCCCTCGCAGTGCACATATATTGCCATCCCATATTGCATATATCTTGCGGAGAATACGGCCGACTTCTGTTAAATCGCTTTGTTGTTAATTTCCCCACCTTGTATAGTCCCTCCGATATTATTTACAATGTCCATTGTCTGCTTCACCTGTATGACGATGTGTCTCGGTTTGGAGTGTTGGATAATTTCTCGGCATTTCCTTTCGAGTCCTTTTTGCAGAGTGTCCGCAGCAGTATAAAAGGGCCTACTAACGTAGCCGCGCAGGTTTTCAAGCGCTTTTCTGAAAGACGCTTGCCTGAGTTACCAACATGCCCAATGCTGTTCGACGACGACGAGGGAGTAGCACGGGCATTTAAACTGCCTCGCGGATCCACCGCAATTTTCCATAGAGACTTTGTTTTGTCAAATAAACAGCCCGATAATGTGGTACTTATCGGAAATAGACCGTGCCTGCTGACATCAGTGTCGGATACCGGCATAACTCACCGCCCGTTCCTTGACTGTGAGGACCTTTTTACAACATCCCTTCCCTCATCCTCCTTGTATATGTTTAAAGCCTCCCGTTTGTCAGGCGTTCCTTCAACTGCTGCCCTCTCAGACATCATTTGTAAATATGTTCCCTTTGATATTGACGGTCGTTTTTTTCTAATTCCGTTACCGCACACTGTGCGTGCGCGGTGACTCTTGTTTACATTGTTCATTTGATATAAATTTCCCTGTAGATGTATTCGGTTGTCGAATTCATAAATGATAAGACTGTGGCCGTGGTGGCTGCAGCCTGGTTTTACGACGTGGGCAGCGTTATGTGGCCTAAGAACCACAAAGAGCGGGCCGTCCTGCTGAATAATAACAAGCGGCCACCAGACGGCACCAAGGTGTACGCTGTTCGGCTACTAAAAAGTAACCTGACACTGGTGAAGGCCAGACAGCTGGTCCGGAAAGCAGAGCTGTCGGACAATCTTTCTAGTTCTGAGCCGGGCGAATTAGGCAGAGGGATAAAGAGAAAGTACATGTCCCATACTGTTAATATTTCTTTGCAGGTATGTCCGCAGGCAGACGTCGGATTCAGACGATGATGACGAACCACTTTATCGTCCGAGACAGCTACTTGGTTGGCCAACACCACCACGAATATTACAGTAAGCATAATTATCGTTAATTATTCGTACGCCAAGAATGGACGAACAGATGCCCCACCTCTTCTCTCAGTCGAGTCACCCTACGCCATCGACTTCATATCGGTAGCTGCCTGTTATTAATTATTACCGAAGGCTGTCTAGGGAAATGCCGGCACCTGCGCCAGTGCCTGCTACCGAACCTGCATGTAGCCATCAGGCGCAGAGTGACACGAATGACGTAAACTTTCGGTTAGCGTCCCTCGAGTAAGACTGTTGACAATCTCATTGACAATCTATTAGAAACAAAGTCGATTTCCTGGCCGAACAAATGGTCGCCCTCAACAACAGTGTGCGGCAACTGCAGGCAACAATGACTGATGCTGTCAGTGCATTAGAGAGGGGTGCCACTACTGCCGACGTCGGGCCCTCTCGTCTGCATTTGCCACTGTGCACAGCCGAAGCCTACGAAGACTTCGTTCGTCGGCTAACTACTGAGGCGGAATTGGCAGACAAGGCGGTATGTGTATATTTGTTTGACTGTTCTCAGATCAGACAGCTGGCCGTGGTGGGAGGGCGGAGTGAAAAAGACTTTGTCAGAAATCTACTGACTGCTCTCATTGGTCCGCCGCTTTGTTACACCTGCTGGAGGGGCGGATCCAAGGAGAAGCGGTCGTTCCTTGCCTGCCCGTTATTTAGCATCGTCAACGGTAGGTCTACTTTTTGCTTATTGGCACATACAGATGCCATCGGCCAAAACCCCCGTTTTAGCAACTGCAACAGGGAGGTACTTCGACTTACGGCCATTAATTGGTTCCATGGGTCGAAGGACCGTTATGGAGGACGATCGAGACGCAGACGCAATATTCACACAGTACGACATTTTGCTTTGAATTACTGCCTAAATGTGTTCAGTTTCAAGGAGTCCCCACTGATGACCTCGCATGCCCACAACTCTCCCCTCCGAAGCACTCGTAAGTTAACTGAAAAAGACTGCTATTAACACACTTTATGTTATTTCCTACTTTTAATTAATTATAATGGTAGTATGTATTTCGGAAGTATGTATACATACATACTAGTATGTATGAATTAACAGTGTACTTTGCAATAGTAATTATTATTTTGTAATAACTATTGCAAAGTACATTGCTAATTAACTCGATGATGTCTGCTTGAGGTCTGACGTTCGCAGAAGTAGTAAATCCGCCTACCTATCTCTTGAGTTCGAAAAGTAAGACCTAGCTCATTTTACCCGGCCCTCGTTGACCGGTTTGTGGTCTGCGTCGGGCCCGCATTTTACTGTGATCAGTGTCGCGCCCGCCCTGGTTGACTGCGTAGATAATTAGCGTCCCTAATTACTTCGCGCCGTCGCTGCCTCTTGTCAAATTGGTTCGTAAAACCGAATACGGGCAAATAAATGAATTTGACAAAGGACGCCCGGGCTTCTCTGCATCAGCCCTGAGGTAAATTAGGGTCATGTACATAGAACTATGTGCGTGAATTTCCCGTGCCTGGGGACGGGCAGACGAATTCACTACTCAGAACGCCGGACCCGCGTCTGGCCTGCACCGAAGGAAGCCTCCTTATGATACGCCACCTAGGAATTGCATTTCTCCTACTATTGGCATTATTGATTAGTTCAATGACAAGAGCATTTCCCATGTTTTACCACAGTTCTTTTTTTTACAGGAACCGCCCATAACCAGTGGAAGCCTTTTAATATCCATTGGAGAACTGCATCCCCGCCTGTATTTTTCGTACCGATTTCTCATTTGTAAATACTCAATAAACCGTCGTTTCTAACCATTGTCTGTCCACTTTCCTATGTCGTGGGATAGAGTGAACGCTAACTAGGTTGTCCGGTTGTGCACTTACGCGGGGTGTTTACCGCTGATTTGCTTTAGCCGAAGCTGACATGTAATCGTGCTGCGATAGCCGGCCGTTTAGAATGAGTGCACCCGCGAGTTAAAAACGGAAGTCATTAAAGGGCGGGGAACGAATGGAGAATGGGGAGATCCTATCGGTTGTCCGGTTGTGCACTTACGCGGGGTGTTGACCATTAATAGTCAATCAATTGATTTGCTTTAACCGAGGCTACGAGGATCCAGTGACACATGTAATCTTACAGCGACAGCCGCCAGTCTAGAATGAGTGCATTCGCGAGTAAAAACGGAGGCCATAAAAGGGTGGGGGACGAATGGAGAATGGGGGGCGCCGCCACGCATTTTTTTTCGGATGGTGTGGCCAGACCTGGCTGTGGTGTCGAAGGCCACACCTTAGCCACGCCAAATGGCCACGTTTGGCCGAGTCGTAGCCACGTCTCGCCGCGGCGGCAAGGCGTGGCCAGCCGCGGCTGGTGCTGGCAGAGAGCCTGCGTCATGGCGGGCTTTTGAATTTGAGCCGCCATTTTTGTAGCTCTCCATTCACGTGTGGATTTTTACTAATTGTACATTATTGTGCCTTTTCTCTTCGATATATTGAATTGTTTTGCATCCTTTGTTTGTCTGAGCTAAGATTATGAGGTCGTCTCTACAGTACGCTAGCACCCTTTTGAACGGAATTAAATTGTCAATTTCACTTACGAACGACCATGATGCAAACTGTTGTACTTTACGACCAATATGTCGTATTTGTGATCGTTCTGTGTTGACTTTGCCAAATATTCTTCAACAACGGCCTATGCATCGGAGAAAACACCGTTGTGGCTGGCAATTCGCATTCAAACGTCAGCCGAATCACAAATTGTCAATTCCTGCCTTCTTGTCGACAAACTGTCGTTCTATTTTCAACAAAACCCATGATTTGGAGCTACTTTTGTCGAAAAAAGAACACAGCAAAACTGATGTTGTTTGCCTTCAAGAGACGTGGCTTAATAGTGACATTGATTCTCAGCTTATTACTCCCCCATCCTTCTACTGCTTTCGAACAGATAGAAAATCTTTATCTTGTGGCAGAGGTGGAGGCGTTGCCATTTTCGTTAATCAAAATTGGTGCAGAGACTGTAAGTCCCTTTTTTCTTACTCTGATGATTTAATAGATGTAATCGCTGTTTTATGTAAGCCCCGTTTGTTAAGTAATTTTAAAGGCATGATACTTGTTAGTATTTACATTCCCCCCTCTTCCTGTGAAGGCGCATTAACCCGTTTTTTCGACTTCCTCTCACAAAAACTTGCTTTATTATCCTGCGACTATCTTACTCTCTTATGCGGCTATTTTGATCGCGTGAATTTACGTCCACTTACACTTTTAGGCTTCGATGATCTTGTCTCCTTTAATACTCGCGCAAATGCCCCTCTTGATCATATTCTGACTAACCATAGCAAGCTTTTTTGCGTTAAAAACAGGGCTCCATTGTCAGGTTCTGACCATTCCACTTTATTGTGCCTTCCAAAAATCTATTCTACTTCAAAACGTGCACTGCTTGCCAAGCCTGAGAGAAAGGTTAAGGTTCGCAACACGTCCGCCCAAAACATTCTCATGCTTCAGACTTGCATTTCTCTTACTATCCCCACTTTCCTTGAACATTCTAATGTTGAATCCTGTTCTTCTAACCTGACAGCGTTTTTAAAGGAAATTTTCGATATTTGCTGCCCTTTTGATACTGTTATGGTACGACCGGATAGAATTACTTCCTCCTATCTGAAATCGTTAAGACGTAAAAAAGAACTCCTTTACAAGCTAGGCTTACGTGATAACCTTAAGGACGTTACCGTCTTAATAAAAACAGAGATTGACAGGCTAAATAGCCTGTTTGTCAGCCAACTTTTTTCCTCTTCTTACTCCCCCCCTTTCCCCCCTTCCTCAGCTGAGATTTGGAAAAATCTTAAGCGTCTCACTGGTCATCGCAACACGCTGGTGCATGTGGATGCAGACTTAGACTCCCTAAATAAAAATTTTATATTTAGTCACAATGACTCCCATCTTCCCTTAGAAGACATTCCCCTATCACCGAGTGCATTCCAACCCGTGCCTTTGGCAACAGTAGAGAAACACCTTAAAAAGGTCCGTGGATCAACAGCTGCCGGACCGGATGGTGTCTCGCCTTTTCTTCTTAAATCTTGCAGTTCTCAGATAGCCCCTATTTTAACGCACCTAATCAATATGTCTTTCATGGAGTCCAAGATTCCCGACGCCTGGCGTACAGTGAGAATCACTCCCATCCCTAAAAAGCCTGCTAACTTTGGTCCTAAATCTTTTCGCCCAATTGCCTGCTCCTCTGCAATACTAAAGCTTGCTGAAAGAGTTGCCCTAGATATCATAAAGCCTTTTTCTTCCAGTTTTTCCGACCCCTTACAATTTGCATACAAAGCTAAACGGAGTACTTTAGATGCTGTCGCTCTTGTGGTCCACTCTGCTCTAAAAGCATTAGACAAGGGTTGCCGCGAGTATGCGTGNCCCTCCATATTGAGTCCCTATTTATTAAAGTTCGTAAACTTCTTTACTACATTCGTCGTTTACGTTCCTACCACACACCTCAACCCTTAGTCTGGCGATTCATTGATGCCTGCATTCTTCCTCTTATCCTATACTGCTCTCCTGTCGTTTTTCCTGCTCTGTTAAAAAAGGATCTTTTAATTTTGAAACGAATCCTCCGCATGCTCTCTTCTGCTGCTGGCGTTTCTCACATTTTTTTAGTTGACACAATCTTACAACGACACTTCAATGCGGTCAAGCAATTTGCTGGTCGAATTCTAGATGACGTTGCCCATCCCCTACATTCCGATCTTATGTCTGCCAAGTCTTCCCGCCCGATGCGCCGCAACTTCCGTCTTATACCCTGTCGCACATCGGCTTATCGAGCCTCTGTATTGCCATTCCTAGCGCGATATCTTACGTGCGAAGAGACAGAAATACAGAAGCTCAGACTTGAACTATCCCCATAATAATCGTTTCTTTGACTGTTGAATAATCTCTTAACTTATTTACTACCAGAAGCTCAGACTTGAACTATCCCCATAATAATCGTTTCTTTGACTGTTGAATAATCTCTTAACTTATTTACTACCCACAGTGAATGGAGCCAATTTTTTGCTGAAAATTTTGAACTTACGATTTCAAAATAAAGCGCATTTCCTCTCTCCTCTCTCTCTCAAATCGCCTGGTCTGTGTGCCTAATCCGCTAAAGTT